TTAGTAATAATAATGTAACATTAATTCGAAATTGGGGAAATCTCTTACCAGGTGGCACCGCTTACCAAATGCTCTGTGTATTATCTCTTTATCTTTTCGGTTCATGCACGATCCGTCTTCGGTAACCTACTCCTTAGATCGGTAGTCATATTTTGCTTTAGTTTATTCACTCTTTGAAGAAGAATCGTTTATGAGCCATAGCGAGCGAAACTGAGTATATGATGCACTTGTTTTGCGTTATCATCCCGTATTGGGTTTGTGTAATTTTGCCTTGATGTCCTAAAATGGAATCTGTTTATGATAGAAATTGTTTGCAACTTTTTTCAAGAAAATTCAATTAAATTTGATTATTAGTTATTAAAGCTTGCATCACGCTTGATCCGTTTTAGAAATTCAGTGCTATTGCAATAGCCTGCTTGGGGAAGCGCGGCGAAGGCATCAGCGTCAGCGAACAGCTCCATTTAGGGAAGGAGAATTTACGTAGCGGCGTGGGAGGTATGCTTTAACTTATCAATACTTATCGTTCTGTTCAAGGGATATTATCATGCACTTAGAGTTTCCGTCACGGAAGGTAGAAAAGGAATATTTGCCTAATGGTTTCAAATGACTTTTGAAATTCATGCTGATTCGGTTCCAGTGATTGTAATAAAGTTCTTTACGATACGTTCTTTAGTGGTGCCAAGTCATCAATGAAATTCGTCGTTTTGAACCGACTTATCGGCTAGCACCATATTTGTCATTCACTTTGTTCATCATTAAAGCATATAATGACAGGAAACGCCTGTCATATCGAAAGGAAGATCTAAAATACTCTGTTGCTAAGAATTTAAGCCTAATGTTTGGCCAGAATTTAGTGCTAGTTACCATGACAGGCAACCAACAGTTTAGTCCTTTATTTTGTTGCCAAGTTTTTGGTTCGGCAATATGATTCCTCATCCATACAAATGTGCCTAAACTGTCGGTTGTCTGTAGTGGGCTGTATCTTTCCTTTTGTTTTGAAGAAGAGAAAACGTAATGTGTATCTGACAGCGTTTTAACAAGAAACATTGCAGATAATTTGTGTCTGAGTCAAATATGACTTCAAATCCAGAGAGTTTATTTAATTAATTTTAATAGAGGATTTTTTCCCTGATAATTGTATTGTCTAGGAAAATAAGAGGATTTTTCGCCAGTTGTAACTTCGTAATATTCAACGTCTAACTTAATTTTTCATGCGGTATTACAATAAATGCACTGAGATTAGATATGATTAACTGATCTGCTGGACGTCTCGATGAAAATCAGTGATAAGCGTGAGAGCGGACAACGACGACCAACCAATTAGAAAACCAACCGTTTAAGACAAAACATTATAATTTCATGAATTTGGCGCTTCCTCATATCGTCCCTTGAGGAAAAGACCTTCTCTTAAGCAGGTGTTGCCACTGAGCTTCAGCAGTCGATTATTGTTTACCATATGTTATTTCGTTATGACCTCGAGAGTGTGTAAACTCGTGTATTATGAAGCATGACCATGGTTACTTTTGTGGCTGATTATATGTAGCCTCTCGGTACTTCGACCTGTTTCGTTTTCCATTTCCTGTTTCATTTGAGTTCCTCAGTTTTTATCCGTTTGTTTTTACAGCGAAGTAAATTATTTTCTAGCACAGGGATATCTGCAAGGGCTACAGTGTGTTTATGTTTTATCATTACCTTTTGCAATTTTTATTTAGCAGCACATCTCTGTCTTGAGATATACGTTGTATTCGTAACTTTTCATCACCTTTGCTATAAGGCATCGGTTACTGCATTGTAGAAGGAATAGTTTATCTCTAGTAGCAAATCTGCCTCTTCCGTGTTCCTTCAGATGGCGTACTAGAAAAAATGGTTACGTCAAGAAGTGAACCCAAAAAGTGGCATAAGATTGTTGCTGTTATCGACGGTATCGAAAACTGGCAGTTTGCCACTAAACCCACAATACCGGGGTTAACTTTTATTATGGATCGTTATATACTCTTGCCTTCATAAGTTGATGCTGTCTAAATTACAAGTCTTCTTACTCAGTTGCTGTGGTCATCATGTGTTCAAGATGCTTTATTTAATAGTTTCGCTTAGGTTGCTGAATAGCTTACCGTACTTTCTATAATATTTTATATTATTTGTTTAATATTGGATGGAACTTACCATAGTTCATTGATCGGTGTATGAATATGTAGGGGCTGGTCTAACCAATAAAATGATGTGAGATGGAACTGTGTATTTCAGGTGCTAAGATACCATAAATCCGTGGTCTCTACAAATATCCCCCTAGGGATCTAAATGTTTCACGGCTGTGCTTTAAAACAATGTTACCTAATTTGCTGAATTGGTGAACATTGATATGACAGGTTATACTCTACTCTTAATATGTTAGTACTGTTCAGTTAAATCGTTTGCTCTTTGCGACCTAAGGTCTTACGTTTGCAGCCGCCGCTGTTGCGCTCAGAGATGCTGGCATTCGCGAAATTCATGTCGACACTGCTGGCTATCCTGAAGGTCAGTTATGAATGATGTATTTCGGTGTTGCTTTGCCGATATGGTTTAGTTTATTTGTGTGTAAGTTGGTTTTATTTATTTATTTGTTATTGCTACTTTCTTAGCGGCGGCCGAAAGTGCAGAGCTTAGTTTATTTTGCTATGATGAAATGAAAAGCGACGCTGAATCGCGCAAGCCGAAAGTCAACGCGGAGCCATTTTTTCTGAATTCGTAAGTTTCATTACATTAGATTATTATGTAACTTGAAATGTATTTTACTCTGCAACATTCGTAGACTGATCACTCAAGGGTGAAAATTTATTGCTTTATGATGAGGACAGGTTGTCGACTGAGAATACCGTAAGACGACGTGTTTGATGAATGAATTTTTGGTAATCATATTTGAATGCAAGATAAATTAATTGCGAGGGGGGTTAATTAAAAATATGAAGAGCAGTTGGCTTATTACGAGTGTTTCGAAATTGTACATCCTTTACGTGAAACTTGTGGTGAGTAATGATGTTAATACTATGTTTAACGTTACTCTTAGACTTCGGTTTACGTTTAGACTTAGGTTCTTGTTTTGGTTAGGATTCGACTTAGACTTTGGCCTATTCTCAATCCCAGGCTTAGGTCAGGCTCTTAGCTTGGCTTTGAATTAGGCTTAGACTTAAGATGAGGCTTGTGCTTAGGGCTAGTGTTAGGCTAAACTTAAACACTCTTTGGCGTATATTTATGCTTAAGCATAGTTATATGCTTTGTCGTAGGCGTGCATTTATAATTAATTATAGGATTTGGCTTAGATCTGGGCTTAGGCGAAATCTTAGGCTCCTACTTAGCCGCAGGCTTAAGCATATGCATATTCTTACGGTTTAGCCTAACGCTTCGGCCTAGGCATCGATTTAAGCTTAGCCTCCATCTTAGACTTAAGTTTAGTCTTAGAATCAGGTTTAGGATTAATTAGCCTTTCAGTGATCGTTGTTATTAAACCTGGTCGCTGCTTCAAATGTACTTCACTAAAAGTGCATGTTAACCTGTCTTGTCTTTCATTCATAATGCTAGTATCCTTTGCCAGGATGAGATACCAATTATTTCTCATTTAGTGCCAGCTTTTGCAACAAAAAAACTGACTCTTCATTCACGCTTTGAAAGCCTGGCTGTGGACGGGAACTGCTAGCTGGTGGCAGACTTTTTTTCGAAAAATGCAATGAGGCCTGTTGTAATCTGCTCTATTGGAAACGAAATGAAGCTCAAATATGTACTTGAAAAGCTTTGCCCTACCGCAAAATAAAACATTTTGCTAACTGTTGAAGGAAAGATTTCTTTTGCTCTCGTTTTCCTTCATGTACTGATGATTGGTTCTAGTAATTGTTATAAAATTGAAGTCCATTGTCAACGTTGTAACGGAACAAATACTAAATTTTAGTTCAGTTATCTA